CGATTCCCGCCACAAGTGTGCTGCCGTGAAACTTAGTACTTATTCTTTATACTTATTTCTATCTTGCAGAGCAGTAGAAATTTCCAAGACTCGTTACTGGGAAAGGCAATGAAATTTCTGTGAGTCAGAGGTTTGTTTTCATAATTATCTTCCATGGGTTGTTTTCCCCTTACAACTATATTTTCATTATAGAAAACTGTATGTGTTGCAATATAGGTCCCCTCCAAGTTGCAAAGTATGTCACAGGAGGGTGGATTTGCTCACTAACTCTATGATAACTAACCTGCTGAGCATAACTGCATATTATAATGAACACAAACAAAATATCAAAACTGGGAAGTTTCTTCTTACATTAAAAAAATAACCCAAAACAAAACCCAGAGTCCTCATGTGATATATGAGGCCCTACATGATCTAGCATCCTGCCACCTCTCTGCCCTCATCTCCCTGTCGCCCTGGTCCAGCCATCCTGGCCTCCTTGCTTGTCCTTCCTTCAACACACCAGACATGGTCCTGGCTTTGTACCTTTGTACTTGCTGTTCTCTTGGCTTAGAAAGCCTTTCCCCCAGATTATGTGTATGATTTGCTCCCTTACTTCATTCACATTTGTTCAAATATCACTCCCTCAGGGAGACCTTCAAATTATCTCATCTAAAATCAAGCCACCCACCCCACCCTCACATCCATCATCTTCTATTCTTTGGTTTGCCTTTTCTTCCCCATAACACAAATCACCATCGGATACTTTATTTGTTGATTGTTGATTGCTGGATTTTCCCCACCAGAATGTAAGCTCCATGAAGGCAAATCTTTGTTTTGTTTGCTGCTGTATCCCCAGCCCTAGAACAATGCCTGGCACCCAGCAGGTGCTCAATAAATGAATGAAGTGAAACTAATTAAAAGATATGGGTTCCATGACAGGAAAGAGCTTGCACTGGGACCCTGCACCAGGTGGTTTAGGAGATGCCGACCATCAGAGCCAGAGATGACCTTGAGAAGGGAAGAGATCCCTGGGAATTCACAGAAACCTGGGGGGTGAGTACCAGACTTTATGAAGGGAGTGAAAGGGGGAATATGGAGGAACTCTAAATGACACATGCATCACACACACATTATCTTATTTCATCTTAATATCACAACAGATGAGGAAATTGAAGATCAGAAAGGTGAACTGACTTACCCATGGTTATTCAGCTAAGTAGCAGAGCCTCGATCTGAAGTCAGCTCTGTCTGACTCTAGAAACCATGTTCTTTTCAAGACACCACACAGCTGAGGAGAAAGCTTGGTGAAGAGTGTGTGTTCAGTTAAGTAACAGTTGAAGGAATGAACAAATGCTTCATAGAGAAAGTGTTAATTTGGTCATTTTTGAGATCAAACAGCCTTATGGAGAGACCAAAGGCAGACCTGGAGAAAGAAGGAGATTGAACAAAAAGTTTTAAGATTAGATAGTTAGGTGAGGAGCTGTCCAGGGAACACTGAGTACATCAGCTTAGCTGGATCTTAGAGTGTTAATGGAGCATTTTAGGAGATAAGGTCTCCAAGGACCCAAATGTGAAAGATCTTGACTGCTTGGTTATGGAATTTGGACTTTACCATGAGACGGTGGGGAGCATTAAGCTGTAGAGTAATGTGCTCAGACACTGCTTTCGGAAGTCATTCTGGGGTGCTGGGGATGGGATTACCAAATGGATTTATTGTAATAGTCCCAGTGAAGAGTTATCGCCAAAGCAGTCAATTCTCTCTGAACCCATGAAAGGTTGAGGTTAAAACCAGCCCTGACCTAAACATTCACATAACAGCCACTAGTTGGCAGCAATGTCCCAAGAAACAGGTGAGCCAGCTTCCAGGTAGGAGCTTCCTCAGCCAACTCCTTGGGCTGTGATGGGGTATGGTCACCTGGTGGAACACAAGAGTAGTTGGGAGAACAGCCTGTGTGGAGAGAACCCCAAAGACCCACAGGGGAAGGAGTATGTGGGGGTCAGAGGACAGGGTGATCAATGCCTGGAGGATGGTTGCGGTGGGATGGGGGGCAGGTGTGAGAGGGGAGGCTGCATCTGAGAGCTAGAAACTGATTGCAAATGGCCTTGAATTTCCAGGCTAAGAAAGCTGGACATTATCCTGAGGGAAATGGGGACCCAGGAAACCCATGTCTAAGTAGAAGAGAAACATGACTAGACTTGCCTTTTAGAAAGATCACCAAGATTGCAGTGTGGAGAATGAGGGGAAAGAGACAGGAAGCAGAGAGAACAGTGAGGAGGTGCTGTAGTGATCCCCAGAGAGATGATGAGTGGTCTGAACTAGGGTCAGCAATTGAAGTGGACAGAAGGGGTCAGATTTGTAGGCGACTTAAGAAATAAAAATCATAGAATGAGAAAGAGGGCATTAAAATGTAGTTTTCACAGAAGATAATGAATATTCTCTCCCCATTATTAAGAACACTTTCTGAATTGTTGGATTTTCTCCCTAAAACTGCAGTGGAAGAGCTCAGATCGTGGAACTTCTTTAGGTCTAAATTCACTCAGTCTGTGGTGGGAACTGGCGACAAAGGAATGACTTAGCAGTTGCCTCCCCACTGGTGGAATAACAGTCAACTGTACAGTGTGGAGAGGGCTTTGATGGAGGAAATACAGGACAGTGTGGTGTCCAGCGGGGGAACCTGATGCAGGTTTCCAGGGAGAGGAAACTTGTGAGCCCACGATATGCAAAGGATCTCACAAAACTGTCAGTGAGCTAAGCACTGGAAAAGAAGGGAGTCTGGGAGCAGCCCCGTTACCTGTTTACCCCTTTTCGTCACAAACCGTAGGCGTCACCTTATGCGCGATAAGGTGTCCCAGGTGAGCTACGTTCCCCAGGATGAAAGCGCTAACCCAGCCACGGTCGCCAGCTCCTGGAGCAAACTCACTTCCCAGAAGACAGACATGCTTAGCGTCCCTCAGAGGCTCCTGGACCGCCGCCCAGGGCAGACAGGCTGTGATTGGTGGGAGCCTGGGGCCCGCCCCTCACCAGCCCAACACTGCGGTTCTGATTGGTGGAGAAACCGCGTAGCCCCGCCTCCCCCGCCAGTCGGCAAAGGAGGCTAGCCAGGTGGGTGCGCGACTGCTGAGGGGGCCCTAGAGCACCGCTGTTACGGTCTGGGAGAGATGGAAGATCGCCCCGGCCCCAAATCTTCTACACCCGCGATGGACTGCAGTCCCTAGAGAAAAGGCGTCAAGGGACCGGAAGCTGTGCTTCCCGGAGCATTGTGGGCCCAGGCGGGGGTGGGCCGGGTCTTCCGGCGCCTGCGTGCACCTAGCAGTTGGGGAAATGGTGGCCCACGGCACGTTGCTGCAAGCCCTGTGAGGGGCGGGAACCCGGGAGTGGGTTCTCGGGCATTTTCAGACCAGGGTGTGGAGCCCTGGGCTGGGCTGGGCTGGGGCCGGGATGCTTCCGGGCTCCGCCCCGCTTTGGGGCCTCGGGTGCCACTGCTTTGCATCCTTAAGCTCACGCTTCTAGCGTGCTCCTTCCGCCCCAACCCCACCCCTAGTCCGTTTCCTTCCATCCGGTGGGAACAGCAACCAGGGTGCCACCATAGGATTTTAAGAGCCCTGAGTGCGCACCTGGCATCCGGGGCCCCTGACTCCTCTTTGCATTACCCCTCCCGGGGCCCCTGCGAAGCAAGAGCTAACTCCTTTCAACAGAAGCCTGCTGGGGCCATGTGGTAAGGCCTCCTCCATCGCACCTGGTCCCCGCCCTTCATAGGTTAACCACCCTGCCCCCAGGCTCAGGCAAGGCACAACCCTTCTGTGAGCCTCACTCCTGATTTGTGAGATGGGGATGGCTAACTCGTCAGATTCTCTGTACCTAATGATAATACACAGGTGCTGCCAATTACGATGTACCCGTTTTCCCTTCTCACCCTCTCCGTACAACCCCGCTTCATGGCAAGCAGATTTTATAGTTTAACCTGTGTGCAGTTATGAAGGTTCGACAGGCATATCCACCCCACCCCCCGATTTTGTCAGCTGAGCCTCTAGGGACAAATATCCTTGGTGCTTTTATTTCAACCGTTTTCTGAGTGCCTGCTCTGTGCCAAGCACTGTATTTAGTACTGAAGACCCAGATGAACCAAGTTGACTTCTTCCCATGAAATTGAGACTAGTGGGGGAAATAGGAACTTGTGATAAAGGTGGTGATAAAAGACATGTGATAAAGATACAGTGCCACAGGAAAGGAACAAATGAAGTACTCTTGAAATTCAGGGATTGGGAGAAGGGGGTTAGAAGTCTTTAGGGAGTGTGCAGTAGCCTATAAGCTGGATCAGAGGGGGCATTCTGAATTAAATAGACGGGAGAAGGCAGCTTGACAAGCTCACTCTGCCCACGCAGTGAACATGGTTCATTTTGCTTTGGAGGGGCTGGGGGTTTGGGGGGAGGAGTGGGGTAGGGGGTGGGGGGTGTGCAGTATAATTTTTTTTTTTTTTTGGCCACGCGGCTTGCGGGATCTTAGTTCCCTGACCAGGGACTGAACCTGGGCCACCACAGTGAAAGCGCCGAATCCTAACCACTGGACCGCCAGGGAATTCCTGCAGTATAATTGTTAAAAGCAGGGGTTTTAGCATATTTGCTGAGACTTCAGGCACATTAACCTCTTTGAGCCTGTCAAATGTACAGAGATAGTACCTACCTCACATTCAAGATAATGCATATCAAGGCCTGAGCATCAGGGTCAGCACATAGCTATCATTTTTTTGAATACCGGCTATCATACGTGAAGGAAAATGGGAATGCCTCGAATGCCAAGATTTTTAGATTTTTCTCTAGGTAATAGAGATCAAACAGATTTTTAAGCAGTAGAGGGTGTTGATCAAAGGTGCTTGGAAGTGACTGAATCTTGGAGTCAAAAAGTCTGGCGCCGCTCTAATAGTTGCTTCTTTCCCATTCCCATCCAAATCTGCCTACCCTCAACCCATATGCATTTCAGAACGATGTTTCTAAAAACCAGCCATTTATATCTGCTTAGGTAAGTTACAGAGTAAGGTGGTGTATTTACAAGTTGGTTTGTCCAGATATACTATAACTTAGTGTCTGTATTTAATATTGACAACCAAAAAATATATATAAATATCTTCCAACTATACACAGCAGGGCAGGATCACGTCTTCTTGAATAGTGAGTTCTCAGTTTCCCATGGCCCTCCTCTCTTGGTGACCGTCTGGCCCTCAGTGCAAAGGAGACTAGCACCTGGCAGCCCAGTCTGGCCCTTCCCCTCTCCTCGCTGTACTCCAGTGCTCCCAACTGGTCTCAGGCAAGAGAAGATTAATTTGAGTGGTTGGGTAGGAAGAGACAGGAATGGGCGAATCCTAATGGAGCCTGATCCTGGAGCCTGATCCCTAGGTGGGGAGACCCAGGCCCACAGAAGGAGTGGCCAGAGCCACCTCTTGGGGTAGAAGACTCATGGTTCGTAGTTCAATTAGTGTGTCCTTGGGTCATAGGTCCGGCCCTACAGATTAGCTTGGCAAAGAAGGCAAGTGTCTAGGCAGGGCTTGGTCCCCACCCTCAGGCACTGAGCCATTCAGGGTGAAGCCAGGGATGTGGATAAAGGAGACTCTGGCTGATAAAAAAATAATAACAAAATCAGTAATAAAAAAATTATAAAACCTGTTGCTTGTCTGAATAGATCTGAGCAACAGTCTTTTGTTAAAATCCTGGAGCCATTAAAAGTCCTGAATATTCTTCTGGACATCACTACTGGCTGAAGAAAAGAGCCCCAGGCCCAGCTCTGCTGAGATCTTGTCAGTTTGAAAGTCTCATCCAGCTGCCTGTGCTCCGAGAGATCCTTGGGCTGCTGGGAGCAGACCGGGCTGGTGGTGTGGGGCACCTCACACTTGTGAATCAGCTCCCAGGGGGTGGAACAGCTCCTCGGGTGTCTTGTCACTTTGGCTCGCTCCCCCCTGCCGGAAGCCGGAAGCAATCTCATCGAAGGTCCTGCCTTTCGTCTCGGGAACTTTGAAGTAGGTAAAGATGAAGAACAAAACCAGGAGCACGGTGAAGATGATGAAGACATAGGGACCACACAGTTGCTGAAAGATACACAGAAACACTTGGTTGGAGACCTGACCCTACATCGGGCCGTAGGACCTTGGATAAGTCACTTTACCTCTGGGCCTTTGATCTGAAAAAGGGAACACCCACCGACAACCCAGGAGCATTGGGATGTTAATATTAGACTCTGTGGCACCTGGCACGTGATAGGAGCAGGTTCCCATGGCAGGGCAGAACAGAAAATTCAAAGATAAGGAAAGAACCCTGTGTGACTTGGGCTTCTGAGCCTGTTTCCTCCCCAGCATGATTCCCGTAAGAACGGCAGGGACAGCATTTTGCACAGTGCTATGGGGTCCTGCATGCAGGAGAGAAATGCTGAGTGTGGGGACTCTGGGAGTTCTCACCTCCACATACTGGAAGCACATGCCCACAATGAAATTTGAGGTCCAGTTGGAGAAGCCAGCGACAGCAATGGCAGCTGGGCGAGGGCCCTGGCTGAAGAGTTCAGCCACAATGAACCATGGGATGGGGCCAGGGCCCACTTCGAAGAAGGCCACGAAGCCAAAGATGGCCACGATGCTCAGGTAGGACATCCAGGGCAGCTGCTCCTGTTGAGGACGAGAGACGGGAGGAAAGTTAGATTGGGCCGTGCTGGATCCTCAGAAGAAACAAACTGCAAAGGCAGCCCAAGGCAGGCCTAAGAGCTCTAGGCTGGAAAGCAGGAGGCCAGGGTTGATCCTGGATTTGCCGTGTGACTTAGGTACCCTGTGCCGGGTCTTGGATTCCTCATCTGAACAAAACAGTTTAAGTCCTGCATGGTCTGCCCTCCCAGAATGGTCATGTAGTTGCATATGGAAGGTGCTAAGAAGAGGTCCCTGAGGTCCCCTGGCTCTGGCTGTGGAGCAGTCTGCTTACAGTAGGAGGATGTGGAAGAACATTCCTGGGGGTGGGTGTTAGAAGGCTTGTAAGGTGCCCTACTCAGGACTGGCACAGAGCAGGCATGTGGTTTTACGTATAATCATTCTCGAGGAGGCTGCAGTAGAAAAGTTATATTGGCTTTGCTCCAGATCCCAGATCCGCTGCTCACTGCCTACGGTATTGCCAGGCCTCTCGGCCATCACCACACTCTCCAAGCCTTGGTTCGGCTGTAAAATGAGTGTACTGGTGCTTTCCTTGCCCAGATGTTGGACAATCAAGTGTTGTGTGTGAAGTGCCTGGGACAGGATTATCACAGAGATTACAGTCACGGGCTTGGGGCCAGCAGACCTGAGGTTGATTCCTGGCTTCGTCCTTTATCTGCTACATTACTAACCTCACTGGGGGAGGTTTCCTCACCTGAGAAATGGGAATATTGACTGAACTACACCTGTGTGTCGTGAGGACTGAGTGAGATGAGGCATGTTTCCACGCCTCTGTGGTGAGGAGGACATTACTTTTCTAGGGCTGTTCTGAAGATGAATTGAAGATGCAGAGGAAGACTTTGAAAAATTTAGTATCGGGCAAAGTAGCTCCTGGGGAGAGGGAACTTGAAGTCTGGGGCTAGAGGTGCGGTGGTGAGAAAGCACCAAGCAGCGAGGAGCCGTTTGAAGACAGGATGGGAGTGGGATGGAAGGAGCCAGCCTAAAGAGGCAGAAGGTCAGGCCCACGCCCGGGATTGGGAGGAGTGCAGAACCAGGGCGAGGGCAGCCCTCCCCCACACACACCTGGCCTCCAGTGCTGCTTGCCAGCCTGGGGCTGAGATAGGCACTGTGGGGTCTGATGCCCACGTGAGCTCCCCCCACCTGCCGCCTCGCCCCCAGAGCGAGGCAACTCACCAGCAGCGCCAGCGCGATGGTCATGAGCACTGCACAGCCTGCCATACCGGCCAGGCCTATGAGGTGCAGGGTCCGCCGGCCAGCTCGTTCCACCACAAACAGCTGTGGGCAGAGAGGATGTCAGTGCAGCCTGCCTGGTGCCTCTCTGAACATACCCCTTCCTCCAGGAGGGTGGCCCCCAGTGCTGGGAAAGCCACGTGGCACTGCAGAGATGGACGCCTCCTCCCTGGGGCTCAGCTCGGGGACTACATAGGATCTGAGGGAATGAGAGCTGGACCCCGAGAGCCAGACAGCTGAGCATTCTGGCTGTGGCCTTGGGCCAGCCATTGCACTTCTCTGAGCGTCAGTGTCATCAGCTGTTTGATAGAGTAATGAACTTGACGAGTTGTCCAAGATGAAATGAGAGAGCACTTAGGGAGCCCGTGATGCGTGCCTGGCTCACAGTAAAGGCTGTTGTTTGGTCATGAGGCCCTGAGGCCCCAAGCTGGACCCCAGATGCCGACTGGCTGTGGGCAACGATGCAAAAGACTCACCGACACGACAGTGAAGGCTGTGTTGACGATGCCGGAGCCGATGGTGGCATACACAGGCTGCTGCACCCCCGCCTTCTCGAAGATGCTTGTGGAGTAATAGAAAACCTACGGGACACAGAAGTCGCGGAGCTCAGCCAGGTGCGGTGGCTCTTCCCCGGCCTCTGTCGCAGTGGGGGCAGGACACACGGTCAGTAAAGAATGAAGGGGACACTGCACCAGTGCCCTCGTGGGTTCTGGTTCTAAAGGACAGCTGCTCCTCTGGCAGGGGCTCGTCTGTTGTTTTAAGGGTGGGACCTGTCCACAGCACACACTTGACTGCAGGGTTTGGCTGGGGCCGCAGGAAAGGGTGGGTGAGGGCACTCACAGCATTGATGCCAGACAGCTGCTGGGACAGCTGCAGCACCACGGCAATGAGGATGGGCTGACGGTAGGCGGCCGAGCGGAACAGCTCCAGGATGGTGACCTTCCTCTCCCGCATCATCTGCCGGCCCTCCTCCTTCATCTCCTGCAGGTCGCGGGTCACATCCGAGGTCCCGCGCAGCTTCTTCAGCACTGGGGGGGCCGGAGGGAAGGCGGGGGTGGCTCAGAGCAGGGAGGAGGCCGGGGCCGGGGGCGGGGAGGGGCAGGGCCCGCCGTACCGCTCTTGGCCCGGTTCTCCTCGTTGCGGTTGATGAGCAGGAAGCGGGGGCTCTCAGGGCAGAAGGGCAGCAGAATGCACTGCAGCAGGGCTGGGATGAAGATGACGCTCAGCAGCAGGGGCCACAGCTCCTGGTTGCCCATGATGGAGTCCAGGCCAAACACCTGGGGGCGGCAGGGCCAGAGCAGCAGCTGTGAGCACCTTGCCCTGGGCCCACTCGCGGCCCCAAGCCACCCAGGGACCTTCTTCGCCTGCTTTGTGGCAGCTGCTGCTTTGGAGAGAGAGGGCTCTAGTCCTCAGTCCAGCTCTGCCACTAACGTGAGGCTTAACTTCTCTGAACCTCAGTTTCCTCATCTGTGACAAGGGGGAAGTAGGACCTGCCTCACGGCATTAGTGGGGGATAGATGGCAGGGCTACAGACATGTCTGGCAGGGGGATGGGGGCTGCTACTTTGCCACAGGACGATTTAGGGATGGGGCAGGGAGAGCCTCGAGAGGGCAGTGCATATATATATGTATACAGGCATCAAGGCGTGGAGGTGTGAGACAGTCGGCATGTTGAGGAACCAGTGGGCTGCCCTGTGGTTGGATCCCCACAGTGAGAAGAAAGGACGCGAGGCTGAGTGGGCTGGGATGAGAAGGGTCAAGGCATCTGGACTTGCTCTCCCACCGGGGGGCCCCGGGAGAATGGTGAGCGGTGGTGTTCTTGGGACCTGCACCTAGGATGTGTCTACGAGGCTGCCCTTTGCAGGGCTGTGGAAGGCCAGGTGAGGAGTTGAATCTGGACACACACCTGAGGCACTGGAGCCGTGGGTGGGGGCTTACCTGGGCGATGAGGATGCCGATGACGATGCCCAGCTGGTGCAGGGTACCCAGGGCCCCGCGAAGGTCCGTGGGGGACACCTCCCCCACGTACATGGGCACAAAGCCAGTGGTCAGGCCGCAGTATACACCAATGACGAAGCGACCCAGGATCAGCATCTCAAAGGACTTGCCCAGTTTTGAGAAGCCCATGAGCACAGCGGACACAAAGGTCAGCAGGTTCATCATCAGCATTGAATTCCGCCTGGGGGGCAGGACGGGGAGGAGGTCACAGGTCAGGCAGGTCCCTGGACCCCCCGGAGGCCCCAGGGGCTGGGTCATAGGTAGACCCTAGGACAGCCAGGGAAGGCCCCCCACCTCCCACTCCCTGGGCAGGGCCAGGACCCCTTCTGCTCACCGGCCAAAACGGTTAACGAAAAGGCCCACAGAGAAGGAGCCAATCATGCCCCCCACGGAGAAGATGGCCACAGAGAGGGACCAGAGTGTGGTCAGTGTGGTGGGCAGGATGCGCTCCCCATAGCGGTGGATCCACGTCTGGTTGTAGAACTCCTCGATCACCTGCAGGAGCAGAAGCAGCCTGGTGGGCGAGGCCAGGACCCAGTCATCCTCCTCCCTTGCACTCCCCCGCCTCAAAGAGGACCATTTTATCACGGGATGCTAGAGGGGGCCCAGGGGCCCAGCACCAGGCCCAGCCCCAAACTTGCTGCTTTCTTACACCGGATGCCACCCCTTTTGTGGGCCTCAGCCACCCACACCACCGAGGGAGAGTGGTGCCGGCTCTCATACCTCCCTCAGAGGTGGTTTCCAGTGCCCTGTAGTTTCAGGCGCTCAACAGGACTTTCTGGGGATGATGGCAAGTGAACAGTGGTGGAAGTTCAGGCATAGCAGAGAGAGGCTCAGAGAGAGAGTGCTTCTTCCCGCATGCCCCTCCCCAGTCCCCGTTCCTGGGGAGGAAATACAGCTGGACAGAGGCCCTTTGAGGAAGGGAAGGGCAGGCTGACTCTGCACTCAGGCCTGGTGTGAGCAACTTGCACACAAATGCTTGTGAGACCCACCCCCGGCTGGCCTGGAAGCTCCCCTCTGAAGGACCCATGGCCTCGTCCCCTCTCTCAGGTGCCCAGTTGGCGGTACAGGGAAAGCTACAGACAAGGAAGCAGTTCCAGGAACTGGAGACACCTGTCCTAGAACAGGCCTCCCGCTAGCCCTGCCCCCACCAGAGGGGGGGCCTGGCTGGCCCAGGCCCAGGCCCAGGCATGTGGCAGGCGGGCAGCACTGGCTCTGCTTGCTCACGCTCACCCCTCCTCTCAGGTGATGCAGATACATGCCCAGTGCCTCGGGACAAGCCAGACCCACCCAGCAACATGCGCAGCCACAGGCCCACTGTACCCAGAAACAGCCTCCTGTGTACACACGCCATCACACACACGAGCTCGCGTTCACATAATCTGAATATTCCCGACTTCAGCCAGTCACAAACCTGCATGCCCCTCTTCCCCTCCCCACTTGCAGCTCAAACTCAACTCCACGCGAGCCCAACCTATCTGGCACCCCTCCCCACTGCAAGTTTGTGTGCACCGGGCAATATGCAGCCTCTCATACAGTATGATCTCCACTGGCACCGCTCTTGGCCCTCCGTAACCCTCCCAAGCTCCAGGGGTCTAGCAGAAGAGGAGGCTGTGGGAAGCCACAACTGCCAAATGGGGAGCCAAGGCCCACAGTCCCAGGAATG